GGGTATCTTATAGTAGGTAGCATTCCAGCTGGCCACGGGCCCTGTCATTGTCTTACATCAGAAGATTGGCAATTTTTGTTTTCATTTATATGTTTCAAGATAAAATGTTTAGGGTATGTATTATTTTTTATTCTTGTTTCCTTGCTTTAATTCACCTTTTCTATTAAATGACCGGTTACTGCTTGTCTCAGTCTCACTGGGGTAAGAGGGCCTCTTCTCTCCTGGGAGAGCAGCCCTGGAACGCAGCATCTCAGTGAGCCTGGGGCAGCCAGAGCACATCAGGCTCCTAAGTGGAGCACAGAGGACTGAACGGTGGGTAGAAAGGGGCAAAAAAAAAAAGTTCCTTCAGAGTTTGGCCCATGGCCAGCCCTGCTCAGGTCTCTATGAATCCAGATAATATCAATGGAAAGGTATATTTCATTTATTCAGAGTGCAAAACAGGGTGACTTACTCTGAAGTGAGAAAAGGTGATCACTATTTACTAAAACAAAACAGAAATACATCAGGCCCTGTATTTCACCTTTTGTTACAGTGGGACTCTGCACACGTTGGTCTGATCACTGTGACCAGTTCTAGTCTTGGCCCTGCTGGAGACTATGGTCCTGAGCAAGATGTACGACCCCTCTGGCCTCAATTCCATCAAATCTGAGGGTTGAGTTCCATGACCTAATATCAGTTTCTTAGGGCTGCCGTATTACTACAAACTGGGTGGTTTAAACCATAGAAATTGGATTATCTCCCAGTTCCTGAGGCTAGAAGTCTAAACTCAAGGTGTTGCAGAGTTGGTTCCTTCCAAAGGGTGCGAGGGACAATCTATTCCATCCCTCTCTCCTTCTCTCTGGTAGCCTCAGGCAATCCTTGTCTTGTAAACCACGTTCTCTCTGTGTCTTCACATGATCTTCCCTCTGCGCATGACTCTGTGTCCAGATTTTCCCTTTTATAAAAAGGACACTAGTCATACTGGATTAGGGCCCCACTCTACTAACCTCATTTTAACTCGATTACCTATATAAAGACCCTCTTACCTAATAAGGTCACGTTCTGAGGCACTGGGGGTTAGGACTCTAACATATCTGTGGGGCAGACACAATGAAGCCCATGACAACCCTTGAAGTCCTGTTCTGAACCTACTGCTTTCTTGAGCACTGCTGCTTAGATGCCAGTATCTTAAAAGTCCCGACAAGAAGACTAGATTCCCCAGCGCATCTGGGCATTATGCCAGGGACTGAGGTGGCAGGCAGCAGGATATTCACGTGGCGATGGTAGTGACGAGCAAATTATGGAGCTGGAGGTTAGTCAAGTAGGTACGGTGGCATGTCTTGGACTTTCATTTGAAAATCAGCCAGACTGAACCTTCCTCTGAGGTCCTTTTCTTACAAGCACATATTGATCCATTGCTTCAACATTGCACAGATTTTTACATTAGAAAAACCATTTTTTTTGTGGAGAACAGAAACCTTTCTGTAGGATGTTTCTAGGAAATCCAGGAATACTTGGGTCTTTGTCCTCCCCTGAGCTATTTTGTGATGAGAATGTCTCAGGTTATTCTCCAATTTCTGTTTCCCTTTCTCTTTTCCAGCCAAATTGCTATCAGTATAAATTACCAGGATGTCCCAGAGACTTTAGCCCCGTGTGTGGAAGCGACATGTCCACTTACCCCAATGAGTGTACTCTGTGCATGAAAATCAGGTAACATAATTTTACAGTATAAATTAGCCAAGTTTTCTTCAGTTCTTTTCTTGCATTTCGATTCCTTAGGAAGCTGTGACTCTTTTTTTGGACATAAGAATCAAATGTGACATAGTAGTTCTGTTTTCATACTGACACTTAAAAGGACACAGAATCCTTCAGTGTATTTTCTAGATCAGTGTTAGAGAATGAGGTGTGTGACTAATCAGATAATTAAGTGATGTTACTCTCCAGGGATGTGCAGTTTCCCCAAATGAAGACTATATTTAGTAGTTGAATTCTGCAGAATGGTAAATGTTCTTTTAAATTCAGAGGACATGTGTAGGTGACCCACACACCCTGCACCACTAGTCAGAAAACAGGTCTCAATAAGTCTCCATGGTAGAATGCTCAGTAACAAATGTATTACACCCGATGCCCTCCCATGTAACACACCTGACCAGCTCAGATGGCCGTGGCTCCTCCTCCAGGTGAGCTGCTTTGTGTTTCAGGGCTCCGTTCTCTGACCTCGGTGAGTTACTAGGCCCTCTCTGAGTGACTTCGGGGGTAGCTCCCTGTGCCCTGGGGTGATGGAAACATGGTAGAGTTGGGCTTTCACCCTCACTGTTTCCTGGATTCAGCTTTAAAAATGATTAAGTAAGCGTCACCCTGGAAGAATCTAATGTATAATGACGTGAGCCTGTTTAATACAAATAGTGGGATGGTTTCAAGATGGTTGGGAATAAATGTCTTTTTAATGGTTTCTTCAATTTGCAGGGAAGATGGTCATGATATAAAAATAATCCGAAGTGGACCATGCTGATGGAGCAGTTTACAGAAGACCACCTTTGACTGCACACTAGATCAACTTCATTTTCCCTTTTTTTCTTTTCCTATGTTTCTTGTGTGAAATTTGTTAACCCACATTTTCTGAGATGAAGTGTGGAAGAGAGCTATGGGCAGTGCCTGATAATTAAAACAAACAAAAAAATCCTTGTTTCTTGCCTTTTTTCCCTTGAGTTAAGCTTATTGCCCAGATGACTTATGTGTTACTTTATTTATTTGGAATAAAATCAGCAGTGTAATCAGTTACCACTGTTCTCTACTGAATACCTATTCCTACTCAGTAGGCTCACGTAGCTCCTTTCCTCTGAGGCAAAGATGAATTTCACTAAGGGAGGAGTGGAGTCACTGTTGAGAGGGCAAAGTTTATTCTTCTTCTGCATTTCCCTGAATCTTGGATATTTAATGTATGTGTAGCTGGTACAGTGTTCTGCACAGGGCAAATAACTGTGAAATACTTGGAGCTGACTTTAGCCAGAGCTGGTAAAGTCAAAGAATCATGCGAGTAAAGTATTCCATATCTCCTTTCAATACAGTTTTCCTTCAGGGTTAATGCAAGAATTTACCTTTTTCCTCCTTTTAGAGCAGTGGTTCTCAACCCTGGGTGATTTTTCCCCAGGGGACACCTGGGCATATGCCTGGAGTCTAGAGGCATTTTTGGTGTGAAAAGTGGGTGCCACTGATGACATCCAGCAGGAAGAAGACAGCGATGCTGTCAGACATCCTACGGCGCACAGGACAGCTCCCAGCAACCAAGCATTTCCAGTCAGTAGTGCTGAGGTTAAGTCACCCAGTTTTAGAGTTTGATACAACACAAAGAATAAACACAGCAATAACAAAAGTGACCAAAGGTTAATTTAGAAAGACAATGCTTTCCAGGTAGAGGATTTTAGGTTAAGTCCTGCATTCTGGCTCCAGGAAACTGAAACATAAGGCAAGAGGTGGCTGGGAGAGTGTTAAGTGAAAAGAATATGGCTTTGGGGGTTGGGGGTTGAGCGAAACCTGAGTTTGAGTTCTGATTCCAACACTTGTGCTTCCATTTTCTTATGTGGAAAATGGGGATAATGCTCAACTCATGGAACTGCCCTGAGGAAACTGCTTAGCACAGAGCTTGGCACATAGAAACCCTGAAATTCTATTCTATTACTTCAAATACTTCTCTTAGAGGGAAAGCAACTGAAGCCCACAGAGGCAGACCAACCTGCCCAAGGTTATGGAACGCAGTTGAAATGCTCAGGACTAGCAGCCTGGTCTCCACATTCCCAGACCTCTGCTCTCACGTGGAACAGAGGCAATGATGTGGGAAGTTGTATAACATAAATGTGCCACGACTATATTTTGTCTTGTAACTATTTTTGGCTTAAAGGTTTTATAGAAGTCGTATATGCTTTTTGGAAAATTAAAAAATACACAAAAGTATATTAAAAGAGAAAGTCTTGATGCTCAACATTGCTAATTATTAAAGAACTCCAAATCAAAACCACAATGAACTCCTGTAACGCCCAGATCTAAGCCATTATTTCTACGTTCTCCACAGCTGGGGGGAAGCAACACATTTACACAACATTTAGAAATTTGACCAATCACATTTGAAAGCAGTCGCCACTGGCTGGATCTTTAAGACTGCCAAACTACCCAAACTCCCTCAGGCCATCTCTAGAGCAAGGAGTTTTATTTTTCTGTCTTGAAAGTGAGATAACATTCAATTTAATGTATCTAATAGCTGCATTCACTACAGTATGCTTAATCCACAGAATTGAAATTACAGGCAAAATTTACGAGAGTCTATGATCTCAAGTGCTATCCTTTATGCTTCATATTTTTAAGACAAAAAAGCAACTGTTTTTTAGTATTCTAGCAAGTTCAAAAGTCAGTTTTCTTCTTGTGGGATAAGAGATCATGTTTACATGACATTTATGATAAAATTAGATTTCATACTTCTGTGGCTGTTTTTTTTTTCTGTCCCCAAGTGAAATTAGTTTTCCTTTAACGGAGAAAGAAAAAAAATTAGGGAGGAAATAGATCAAAAATTAACAAAATTAAATAATTTTATGCAATTTTTTCTTCAAGGAGGATACTACTTTTGCAATTGTAATAAAATACGCCTTTAAAAATTCATCTTTTTAAAGAAGGAAGAAAGATAATTTAAAAAGCCATGAGATGAATGGAAATCTTATTTGAACCAACAAATCAAAGAGCCAGAAATAGTGCATCAGTAATCTTTTACGGACTTCTGCCAAAGGTTCTCCCCATCCTGGAATAATTCTTGGCGGGCACTGAGACACAAGGGGGCAGTGGCTCCCCGGGAAATGCCGCATTCCGCTCAGCCTGAACCCAGCTCAACGGTTTCTCTAGTACACTGCCACTGCCCTGGGAGAGTCACGTTTCACTCACAAACTGCTTCTCAAAGGCTCTTGTGCTTTGATTCTTTGAAAACATCACTTCTATGAATAACACTGAATGAATGATCCAACTGAAGCTCACATGGGGTCAAGGACCCAGGCGAAATGACGACAAATAGAAATAGTTTTACCCCCTGGAGTCGGGGTTAGGCAAACACTCTCAGATTGTGGCTGGAAAAGCTGGAATTTGAAAGGCTACTAGAAAAGGGTTCAAGCTTAGCTGACCTGAGCAAAAAGCTCTGACGCAGTCGGGCAGGTTTATGAAGAAGCTTCCAACCTTCCTTCTCCAGTTTTACTGCCTCCCTGTTCCCCTCTGGTTCATTGTCTTTCATCCTGACTAAAACTTCTGCTCTGGTGAGCACATTCATTAATTCAGAAAATCCATAATATCCAATATTTGCTTGGCTATTTACAGTTTCCAAAGTCTTTCATACTTTATCAAGCACTTCCATGTAGGTTTTTCACCCACAATGTGAAATGCTTTGACATTTGACTTCCACTTTAATGCACGTCATTACTGGAAATGAGACTCCATCAGAGTGACCAAAGCTAATATAAAAAATCAGTGAAAGATTGGGGACCACGTGCCAAGGACATCGCATTGGCCTGGCCACACAGACCAAGCTGCAGGTTAAAGGGCATGACATGGACAGAATGGAAGTGTTGAATCTGGGCTATGGAGCTCAGGAGTGAATTCCTCTCTGAAGAGGAAGGGCAAGGTGCCACTGCAGAGCATTTACCGCTCAAAGACTTTCAGCGGCATTCATGCACAAGAAATTGGCAGTGAATACATGTGAGATAGATGACTCTGATTTGCAATGTGCTACGATAGTCTTTGGAGGCGTGAAGAAGTCCTTTGTTTGCCATAGGGTGATTTATTAGGAAAACGTGTCCTCCTAAACCATATATTTCCATAGGCAGCAACAAGTCTAAGCCATGCAGAAGGATGTCACAGAAGAAGCATCTGCTACATAGTTTTTAGGGCTGTGTGGTTCTGTATACTAAATCAATGCACATATATTTGAATTTTTTTGTTCTACTTTTTGTGATCCGTGTTATAATTTTTGTGACAGAAAATAGCATTGTCCTAATAGGAAATCAAGGTTCATTCATGATGGCTTCTCTTTTGATTGTCAACCAGGAGGGATTTGGTTGTGAGGTGGGGGTTGTTATTTCTCTAGGTTACAGTTTAGGAGAAAATCAGAAAAGGTTAAGTCATCTTGTCATGGTCAACTAAAGAGCACAGCAGATCTTCTGACTCTAAATCTGGGTTTTAAAAAATATTTTATTTATTTATTATTGTACTATTTAATTATTTTACTTGGAGGGAGGAAAATTAGGTTTATTATTTTTAGAGGAGGTACTGGGAATTGAACCCCAGACCTCAGGCATGCTAAGCATATGCTCTACCACTTGAGCTGTACCCTCTCTCCACTACCCCCTGCTCCTTTTTTTAAAAATCATTGTGCTCTGAAAATATCTAACTCTGTTAAGGAAATCCTTTCACCAGACCACCTGTGTTTCACCTCTCTGCAGTGGATTTGGTGGCTATTGTTCTGCATTTCGGAACATAAAGAAGACAGGCATCAAAAAATTTAGTGTTTTCAGTGCTGCTGACTGAGGAGCTTCTTACTTAGACTCTGTCGGGGAAAAAAGTTGGTTTCTAAGTAGGTGGCAGCACTTGGCTGGTTTATTGTTTGTTGAGCGCCAAGGGTATGCTCGATCCAGCAGGAAAACAACACACGGTACCATCAGTGCCTTCTCTGAGCCCACACTTTCAGGCTTATTGGCTGATATCACAGACAGAGAATAAGATAAGCAACAGACCAATGGGTGTAAAAAAAAGTCTTGGAAAGTTGTTGTTGTTGTTAAATAAAAGCCATATTAGCAGCCAAGTAAGTCAAAGCACCCTGGACACAATTTATGCATTTAATCGCAATTTAGAGTTAATATTAGGTCCATAAGATGGTAGTTTGTAAAGTTAGGATTAGCAACTTCCCTGCACACTTTCAACCTGATTCTCTTCTGAAACAGATCTTCCTCTCACTTTCTTCTGCTCTCTTTCTATGGTCTCCCCAAAATATATACCCACTGGCCTTCTACAAATGTCTGAACCTCCGTTTATCATCAGGCTTTCCATACACTGCTGTCTTTCACCTTCTTCTTTTAATGTGCAAATATCCCATAGAAAGGTAATATATTAAATTCTTCACACAGGGAAGGCAAATTCTAGGCAAGGCTCCCGGCACACTCCCAGTCCCCGGCAGATGTTACTAATCTATCACAGGGCGCCTTCTCATGGAGTCTGGAGTTAGAATCCTCAGCACAGTGCTGCTGGCAGCCTATCCAGGCTAATCAAAGTTGGCACAGGAGTTGAAGCCCATTTGGCACCCCTGTGGTAGCAGTGAAAACCAAATGAGTTGCTAATTCAGTATTTGCCTGGTGGGTTCTAGGAGTAGGGAAACTGTGGATAATGAGGGCATGAGAGAAGCTGTTAAGGTCAAGCTTGTTGTATATCACAGTTTCACCCCAGGCTCTTGGCCCAACACGACTTTAATGGCAGAAATAAATTAGGGTGTCTGATCTACAAAATAATACTTTTAGGAACCTTGACGACAGTGGAATATTTTCAGGCCTTCCAAAATGGATACCTATCCGTCTCCAAACAGCCCACACAGATATTCCTCTATCCCTACGCCAAGTGAAGCCGCACAGAGTGAGCCTGAAGCTGTTAAATGGAAAAATGTTGAGCAGCTACTGCCAAGGGGAGTTTGATGGTGTCACGCAGAAAAAAGCAATGAGGTCAATGTCTCCTGCACGCTGGGGGAGACTTGCCAGGTGCT